AATTCGGTGTGAGCTGGTGTTCGCTATAAGCGCACCTTCTCTGCTTACGCGGGTAATGTAGTCATTTTATCCATGCCCTCTATACAGCCGCTTGACGTCTAAACTACAATACCCATAATCCCTAGTTTACATGCACCTTGTGTTGACATCTGCCGGTAGCGTACTCACACACTGACTGTTGGACTTGTACGTGGCGCTTTAGGAAGCAGTTGAAGCGTAAGTTTCACGCTGTGAATGGTTTATAGACTCATCTGTCGCAGTTCCTGTTGCATTAATAGTGACGACAGTGTTAAAAGTGAGTTTTAAAGAGATGTAGCAGGCAGCATGACAGCCAGCTAGTAACGCGCATACTTAGCGTTAGCTTTGTGTGTAATAGTCGCGCGAGAACTTATAAAAGTCAGCTAAGGCGCGTGCATTATTCTTCTGTTGGAGATGTTTGTGTTAGCCACCTGACTTCCTGTAATCCGGGACCTTTCAAGTTCCCGGAGACAACATGCATCTGTAGATAAACCAAACCAGTCAGTTCACCAAGAAGTTTTTATTTTCCAGATCATTTCGTCCCACGTGTCTCATTCACTCTCCCACGAACGCAGCCAGCCTGTTCACAGGTACCGTGACTACCATGACCACTGTACACGGACGGCGTGTTTGCTTCACAACATCAGTGGCTGTTGTGTCGCGACGCATAGGTCCAAAGCCCTTTGGCTGCTTTGTATGTGGAGTTGCTGTGGAGTAGAAACACTGAAGGTTCATCTTACTGTTGTGTTTGTATGTCAGCAGGTTCCAGGAGAACCATAGAGCCAGAAGAACCTAGATCCAGGAGAACCATAGAGCCAGAAGAACCTAGATCCAGGACACCAGGTGTGTGGGGAGGGAAACAGACACAATGTCTCCTCCTCGACTCACAGGAGCACTTCGGTCCTTCTCCAGTGTCAGCAAGAAGGAGGACTTCAGCGAACAGCTCTATGATCTAAAGGTGAGACTAAACCGTTTATAAATGAATTGTGTTGATAATAACTTTTGTGTATAAGTGAGGTTTCCTGGACAAAGCAGCTGGTATACTAACAGACTGTCTTCATGTTGCTCTATAAAAAGAGTCAGAGCTCTGTTGGGGCCATTATTACTGTATTCTTGACGAGCAATTACTTAATGAATTTCTTCACAAATAACATTTTAATCATTAAAGATAAATTATTCATAACCAGCTCACAGATGTATCGATGTGTACTACTTACTATGAGTGCTACTCTTTATTTCTGGTTGATTTTTCTGAGGTATCTTTAGTGATTACTTCATCGTATCTGTTAGACCAGCGGTCCCCAACCCCTGGGCCTCGGACCGGTACCGGTCCGTGAGTCGTTTGGTACCGGGCCGTGAGAGTTGAGGCTCAGGTGTGAAATGTATAGTTTTCAGGGTTTTTATTGGTTTTCAGCGTTATTTTGTTATCGTTTTATCGTTTACTCGGTTTTCCTGGGTCTTTTCACGTGTGTTATGAATAAACCTTTTTTTCGGTACCGGTACTAGTTTTATTTTGTTGTATTTATCCGCGACACCTTAAAGGCCGGTCCGCGAAAATATTGTCGGGCATAAACCGGTCGAAAAAGGTTGGAGACCGCTGTGTTAGAGTATTATTAGAAGGGGTAGGATACATTTTCATCTTAAAGCCTTCGAGTCAGAAAGTCTGAAAACGTTTTGATAAATCTTATCG